AATGTAGGCCAATTCCTTTCTCGGTAGCGATGATGCTAGGTTTTTTTTAATCATTAACTCGTAGGACTCTAACCATCATAAATAATCTCAGCTAATGTATAGTGGCATCTCAGTAGTTTAACTATTACCATGTTCATTTTCAGGCTGAACTATTTACTTTTCTGTTATTATTATAACAAATTCTGAACTTAGTGCAACTTATATGAAGTATATGATACAGAACCCAATGTGCAACTAATATGAAGTATGATACAGAACCCAATGTGTAATAATTGTGGCAATACACAGAGCTAATATGAAGTATGATACAGAACCCAATGTGTAATAATGAGCTAATATGAAGTATGATACAGAACCCAATGTGTAATAATTGTGGCAATACACAGAGCTAATATGAAGTATGATACAGAACCCAATGTGTAATAATTGTGGCAATACACAGAGCTAATATGAAGTATGATACAAATATACATAGAGCTAATAAACAACGTCTAGTTATCAAATTGTGCCTTACAACTTTATATCAAGAATGCCCCAAATATCACTGTGAGTTGTATTTTTTTTACCCATTAGTGGTTTTGGGAAATGGAAACGATTATGCTTATTTTACTCTCAGATTTGATTTTATGTCATTTATTATTTTTCAGAGGGAACTAGGAAACTGATTTGCTAGGCCAGTGTGGTTAGCTAAAACGAAAATGAAGTAGATACTCCAGCGCAGTAGACTACTGCAATCATACTGCAAACATGCTTGAAATCTGCTTCGATTGGGGAGCTAATTAGCATATTTGAAACATGTTTCTATCATGCTGCTAATCTGCTGCATTAATGCTCTTCCTCTGTACAAACCTATGTAATTTTTGAAGTAGAATTGCAGTAGGCTATACTGCATTTCTACTGCAAATATGCTCCACACCACTACTGCGTTAATGCTTCTTTGCTACTTCGATACTACTGCATTTTCGTGCTATATAGGTTATCTCTACTACTAATCCTCCCGGTCACAATATGTCTATGGAACCATTTCCAGACCCTATCGTAGGTCTACTAACTGTGGATCGATCCATCTCCGAGGGGATTCTCGCTAAATTGCAATCAACTTAAGGGGCTTAGATGTCTGTCACGCCTACTGAAGCTGCTAGGGGTAATTAATTAATTAATTATCGTTTAGCAGCTTCAGTAGCATGTCCAGCATTTTAGCCGTTTAAGCTGAAAGCAATTTAGCTAGAAGCCCCTTGGAGATAGATCGATCCTGTTAGATCGATCTTGGTATGGGAACCCAGTCTAAAGACGAATTCTTGAGCCCACATTTGCTTGCACGTGGTGCACTTGGGATTTTTAAAAACAGTGCTCAATAATTGCAGGGATCTTGTAATGGTTGATTAATAAAATGCCCGAGCGCCACAAGCGACTATAGTACTTAAATCTGCTGTATGTACACTGTCTGTATACGCTGTGGGTTTGTGATTGCCGTTTGTTTATAAAACTGCCAATTAATTTTTACAGCCTGTATCGGACCTGAATGGTTTTGATTGACACCTGTCAATTAGGGGACGTAAAAGTTGGCAGTTTTACATGCCAGGCATATATAGTTATCAACTGCGCAATAATCGTGATTGGCGTTTGTTCAGAAAGCTGTCAGTTAAAGTCATGTGTACGTTACAACTTCTATCAAAGAAAAGCTGTAAGGCTGACCTGACACCTGTAATCACAATACGCACTGCAGACTGAAGTGGTTCATGGACAAAAAAAATCGTTATTATATCCAAGGCTTGTTCAGGCGCGTACATTTTTTTAAGAATGAAGTAGTTTTTCTTCAGTCAACAGCTTTATATTGAAAAAGTTTTTACCTGTTGACTGAAAAAAAATTACTTCATTCTTATAACATTGGTCCATAACTGATGAAATTCTTCACAGGCGCACTTTTTTTTACAACTCCTCTACACCATACTATTGCGATAGATACTCGACCGGCGAGAGATTTGACTTCGGATATAAAGATTTATTAAATTACAAGACTGATAGAGAAATCCCCTCTAGAATAAGAGAAAGTGAGCTACCTTATATTAAATCAACCATAAAGTACACCTATAATGTCTTTTTTTAGAGAGCGGTAAAAAAGCCAATATTGGTATAAGTGGAAAAAGATCAAAGATATTAATCAACAGTTGAGGTACTGGTATCTTGTAACCCGTGGTGCAATTATGATCTATTCAAATTTCTTCCGTTTTCCTTCGTTCTTTTTTTCTTTTATTTCTGGTCGGATGCATGAGGATGGCAGCTTTGGTTAGCCATTTTGAAAATATGTGTGTGGTCGGACAGTTTTGTGCCTCATCTACATGTATATAACGAAATGTTACGTAGTCTTTAACTGGAGGCCTATCGATAGTCCGAAGATTTATTGGGCCGAAAAATGGTAACATTTTAATCAGTTTTTTATCTAGGGTTCATTGCATTGGTCCAAGGGGCCGTAGCAATAGCCCGAAGGTTCAATGGTCCGACGGTTCATTGGTCTGAATGTTCACTATAGAACCTTCGGACCAATCAACCCTTGATTAAAAAACTGAAGAAAATGTTACCATTTTTCGGACCAATGCAGCTTCTGACCAATGAACCTTCGGACTATTGAACCTTCGGACTATTGCTACGGTCTCGTTTAACCTTCAGTGTAAAGTTTTCAGCTGGACAAAATAATAATAATAATAATAATAATAATAATTATAATAATAATAAACAAATTAGGTAATCATAAGGTCAAACTGTGCATCGTATTCCCTGTACATCGTTATATTGTGATGATCATTCTGCTGATCGATTTTTCATCTCAGTGTTTTGTAATGTGAACAAATGATCTTGGACGAAACCACGCGTGTTAAGTACATGTACATGTACGTTTATTGTGTTTCTTCATCCATCATCGGCTTTTGTGGCCTTTGAGAGCTATGTTAACTGTCTTGTCATGGTACAAGCCTTATAAATATAGTCTACATGCCATGTACACCACTTGTAAACGCAGTCAAGAGTACTAGAAAGCGTCTTGTAAACATATGCTAAAGGACATGTGCGTGTTTTGCAAATATATTTTAGAGGACATGCACACGTCTTGTAAACATAGACTTGAGCATTTTACTTGTAGTCTAGAGTACTTTAATTCTTGATTACACGGATGCATGGTACGTTTGGTGTCCGGAGACAATTTATCATTTTTTATGTGATCAATAACACGATACAAAAAAAGGTTTTAGAAGCTAACTTAGTCTCTGAGCATACGTATTCAGCAAGGGAATGAAATTACGGCAATGGTCAAGTGACATTTACGCGGCGATTAATTCGACGGTCTTGTCTACAAATCCTATATATCATGTTCTCTTTTGGAATGGGTCCTAATACAGGCACTATGTATCGATTTCAAGAAGGTTTTGTTTTAAATAGTTGATCAATTACATTATAGACGGCCACACAACTGTAAAATGCCGTGTCGACGGCTCAAAGGAATCACGAAACAAAGAGGAATTCAATTTGAGAGATATACAGAAGGAAATTTATTGTTTTTTTTTTTATTTTCGGAAATACACTGCAGAATATTTCAGGAAAGAAGTTCTGTAGTTTGGTTACATTTTGCACCCTCTGGCACAAGCATTTTACGTGAATGTCTGAGATGATGAACGGGATTCTACACACTTCGCCTCAAATACTTGATACAAATACATGTCTACTGGGTATGATGCATTCTTTACTTCAGTTCTCTATCCATCCTGTTTCCCCCGTGACAAAATACGTGAACTGATCCGGAGAGCATTCTACTAGTGCAGCAGCAGCATAGCATCCCAGTGAGAAAATGAGAAAGCATAAAAACAGAATTTCCGGATAGAAAATAGTCATATTTTCGATGGCAAAAGTCCCATGAGCGTTTAAGTTCCCATTTCAGATGGTTTTTACGTTGAAGACTACTGCCTTGTTTTGGTAGACCGTGATAGAACAGCCAATGTCAATGCCTCTTTCACGGGAAAAAAGAACTATTTTTAAGCATCAAAATTGCGTCAAAATACACTCTAAGTCCACGGGAAAACCTCCCATTGACTGGAGGGCAACTGTTCCGTAGTGACGTCAATTGTGACGTAATATAACTCTCCCACCAACATGGAAGTACATGTCAAGCAAGAGAGAGCAACTAAAACAAGTCGTATCTCACATGTTCTAGTCATTTAGTAGCGTTGACGGTGGGCAGACTTTTTTCACACTAGTATAGAGAGCATTGCGATAAATATGTGATCTCCAAAGGGGTACATGTAGGTCTGGTCCGTCATTAACTTGTAAGATACTCATTTTCTAAAAAAAATGTGTAACGAAATCACACCTGGTAGAATTGGAATACATAAGGCAAAAACACGCACATGAGCATGACAATGTTGACAGTGTAAACTTTCGTCACTATGTGAATTATGGTACTGTTTCATATTTGTTGAGGACAGAGAGAGAATTTTTTCATCCATGCCCCCCATCTGCTAACATTTAGCAACACTCTAAACAGGTCTTTGGTGTTCGCCGCACCTGCGTGTCAAATTAAGATTTTCTCAGGACAAACTGATTTTCTGTGCAACAGGATTCCGGGATTTATTGACAAACTTCGTCAACAGTAAAAGACGGGCAATTACTCGGAATACTGACATTTTCTGAACAAATTCTCTCTGTCCCATGAGGCGCGTGGCATCGTAAGGCAATGTAATTACACGTGCATTATCTCTGCTAAACACACATTTCTGTATGACGCAAACAAGATAAGAGCATAGGTCAATTCTGCAATCTACCAGTCATCTGTAGACAGGTTTTCTGCCTCTCAAACAGCCAGAATTCTGAACTTTTTTACTGTTAACTGAGAAACTGTAAATTGTGAACAAAATGACAATTTTATCATAGAAACACTGTTTTCATCTTCGACAAGACACATATGACACATTGTCATGGTGTTGGGGACTGTAGTCGCAATAAGTTGACTGCAAGTGGCCACCTTAAATTCAAAAATGTGCAGTGTTCTTGAAAACCTAGTCGCTGAGAAGATACATAAACGCTTTTTATTGTTATATAATTGTATAGACACTGCATTCATGGCATAGCCAGGCAAGTTTTGATATGGACTAAGACATTATTTTGTACTGAAATTTATCCAATTGCAAGAGTTACAATAAAACGCTTGTATGTGCACTAGGGCGGCTTGGTACAGTGTACATTTGGACTAACCAGTGGATACAATAATGCAGTTGGCCAATAGGCAGTTATTTTATGGCTGAAATCTCTACATGACTGGCACCTGTGATGATTTGGCTTTCCTCCGAATTGACTGTGCTCACATACAAAGGGCGCATACTGTTGAATATAATTCTAATACATAAAAAGGAATGATCACATAGGCACAACTGTCTGAATGACTGCCATTGCTCCTGCATGTATCAAGTATAGGAATATGTAGAATAAGTTTTTATTTCAGTGTCAGTTGCGGTTTTTTATTTCAACATTAAAATTTTACAAAAATGTTATTCCGCACTCCTCCCGGTAGAGACTATAAAATAGTGTTATCTGCCGAGTCCGTTCTTTGGTTGGACTCGTTTCTTAGAATCGAAGATCGCATACTTCTTAAACTGGAGGAGCGACGCTGTAGTCGCCTGTACGTAAACAATGCTCTAAGTTCTTTTCTGAAGCATGCCCCGGAGATGCTGTACAGGAAAAAATTGACACAGTAGTTGAAAAAGTAGATTGTCCGAGTGACGTGTAGAGCGCCCCGCGAGTACCGGAAGTCAACGTCGGTCTCGCGGCTGGGGAAGGTTCTGTACATGTGCAGACACCAGGTGACGAAATACGGCATGTTTAACATGACGAAACAGGTGGAGAGACCGAGAAGAATGATGGTCATTTCCATCCTGATTTTATTCTCTTGGACCTGCACCATGCCGAATACTCCGCGCCTGCGGTTCCGGCTGCGCGCGACCAACTTCCGGACCATTAGAACGTTCAACACGCTAATTATTACGAACGGCACGAGGGTGATGCTCATTCCGAAAATCATGTCTATGACGTAGGAGAGGGTCTTGAATTCACTGTTGTGGGTGCAGACTTTCTCTTTCGTTATCTTGTTAACTTCGTACACTCCGCTCAAGACAGGCTTGTACAGAGACAGGATGAACGCAGCGATGACGTATATCGTGATGGTCTTTCGGGCGTAGCTGCGCGTGCACATGCGTAACCTAAGCAGCGGCCTGCACACGCCTATGTAACGCTCAATTGTGAACGCTACGATCAGCCATACTGACATGAACCGCATGACGTAACTGAAGTAAAGAAACATGTGGCACACGCCATTTCGGGACAGGATGTGACCGGCTGCGTAACTTCCGGTGAGAAATGCCAGTCCACGGGTCAGCCAATCAAGAAGCACGTAGATGAGAAGTACCAGGATGTCCGAGAGAGAGAGGGCAGCAAGGTAGCAGCTAGCTGAGAGACTCCGCATGCTCTTGCTGACAAAGACATTGAAAGAGAGAATATTTCCGCACAATCCTATGCCTATGATGATAGGAGTGACGACAGCATAGAACTTCTGGCCCACTGTGAGTATAAGGGGGTCTGAGGTCCCCGGGGGAAATAAAATGATACTTTCATTTCCCTTCAGTGTCTGGTTGATGCCAGTAAAGTTTCCCAGAGATGTGTTGGACAAAGGATGGAATTCTTCTTTCCCGAGGCTCTCGAAAAACTGGTCGATGCTCCCCATTCGGGTTGTGTAATGCGTGAGTGAGATAAGATGTTAAAGTACGGTGCGCATCACTTCCTTAGCCACGGCGTCCCTTTGTGACCAAATCCTAGAAATAAAAAAGTGAAAATTAAGCTTAAAGAAATTCTGTCCTTGTAGCATAGTGTTACAGAATAAATTTATTTTCAATTCGTGACACAATCACACCAATGATATGCATGTCTGTACAGTTAGGGGACCATTCACAGTGAACCATTCTCACTGAATGCAATCAGATGAACGGACATAGACCCCNTTTACTTTGTGACCAAATTCTAGAAATAAAAAAGTGAAAATTAAGCTTAAAGAAATTCTGTCCTTGTAGCATAGTGTTACAGAATAAATTTATTTTCAATTCGTGACACAATCACACCAATGATATGCATGTCTGTACAGTTAGGGGACCATTCACAGTGAACCATTCTCACTGAATGCAATCAGATGAACTGACATGGACCCCATTGCCACACACACCATCGGTCTACGTAACTCTGCGGGGACTCTCGCTGTGTGCAATCAGCGACACTGAATGACACGCCTCCTCTTGTTTCTTACTTAACCATCAGCCTGTCGGTATTGTACTTAACGCCAGGAGGCGTGTTAATCTTATTGCATTCAGCGATAGTCCCCGTGAAGTAAGTGTGCAATGGCTATGGCGACCTCGCACATTCGAAATCGGTATCAGATAACATTGGCCGTTTTCTTAGTCTCTCTAAAACGAATGTCTGCCTAAATCCCTACCTCTTTCGAAAAAAAATTCTGCATCATTTACCCAATTGCGTTAATGAATAACTAACGCTGTAGTCTATTTCAATGCACTGGAGAGTTCGTTTAGGTAATTAATAGAATAATGTGTGTGTGTGTACATGTGTGTGTGTGTGTGTGTGTGTGTGTGTGTGTGCACGTGTATGTGTGCGTGTGTGTGTGTGTTATTTACCGCCGTATGTTCATTTTCGCCAGCGGAATCAGGTGCATCGGACTGCATAACGTATAATAATACCCGTTCTCCACACTCCAAGGAAGATCATATAGCAGTTCATGTTGAACCGAGTAAAAGGTTAATATCTACTTAGTGGATCTCACATATCAATTTTCATCAAGTTATCTTTATGTGCCTGAAAGAACGACAAGGAAACCTGACCGGGATCAGTTCAAGACATCGGTTATGCGGTAATGTCAAATGTCATTACACCACAGATAAAACGATGATATATGTACAGACGGTGAATAAAGCGAAGAAGAAAGCCACAGTTTATTTTGGACGGTTGGGGTCATACTGTTGCCCAGTAACCAGACACCGTCGCCAAGCAACCAGACCTGTCCTTGACGTATGTTTCGAAAAAATCCAAGTGATATTAAAGATTTACAGATGCATTTGAAGACAAGTTTTTTTCCCACAAAAGACAACCAAATGCCACCATATACTGCAGGTTCTAATGGTACGATATAGATAAACACTAAAGGGCATCGTTTCGCTTTGTAGGCAAAATGGTATTTGAACGGATATTTTCTGCTTACTTTCTGTGCTATACTGTACAGAACCTTAGTTGTTTTTGGCAACTCATTGAATAAGTATGGATTTTGCGCACAGCCACGCCCAGATACCGGAGTGATGATTATGCGATGCGCGCGCAGCACTGGTCGTTTAACTGACCTTTACGAACTAGAGGGGCAGATAAGTGTGTAAATTAACGACCAGAAATTTGAAGAAGGTGTAGTTTTAAAGCTCTTTTATGGCTGATTCAGTGATCCATTCGGTTTATCCTTTGACGTGTCGACTTTATTTAAGTCTAGTAGAAGTGGTTTATGCGCGTTACTTGGAATCCACGCTTGCGTTATGTGTACACTGCAGGTGTGGACGGCGCCCCCTGTGCAACGCTACATTTCTGATTAGATAAATACTTTTCTTTAAGGACAGCACTATCAAAATGGTGCCCAGATTTCAGTTCATTCCAACTGACATCTGTCTCCTACCTCCTGTAAATATGTTTTGGCTTTATCCAGGTGTTATACGATTTTAAAATTAACATGTATGTAATGGAAAGCTTCAATGGCTGTACACGCTCAAGTTGCTGGTAGATATTAATTATATGCACTCATACTACGACAAATTACCATCTCAATTTAAAAGTGATATTTGTTTAAAAAAGATTCCGTTCCGAGTACCCAAGGCGATAACGTGATCCGACGGTTCCAGGATTCGAATTCTTAATATTTACTTACAGGTGGCAAAAAAAGCTCAAAGGAATAGCCAGTTCCACAGTTACTGATATATTCTTAATTTTTTGAAATGTGAAACAAAACACTCCTGTCTGTCGTTAATTAAAATCATGTGTATTGTTACATGTACCAGATATTTTATATCACATACCTAATGGACTGACCCCTGTCTTATCAAATCAATTGACGTGGCTGCCAGAGCCATTGGAGTCAATAAATGAAATCAAACTTATGTAACTTTAAATCTAAATCACAAAGAGTCCTCAGACATGCTGAAACTGTCGGTCCTATCGGTCATGACCGCGAAAATTTGTTTGGACCAGTACAAAATTGGACTTGGTCGGTCCAAAGAACCGACAAGAGTTTTATGAACCTCAATTTTGAATCTACAGTCAACATTCGACATACTTCACTAATAAAAATATATAAAACCCAAAGCGTTTTCCCTTCCATTTCAAACCTATCACATTCACAAACAAAGTAAGCTACCTAATCATACTGGTAGTATCTGTCTCAAACGAATAGAGTGATTTTCGGTCCGACAAAAATCCATTCGGTCCGTCAAAATTTTCATTACTGCCTGTCCAAATGTCCGGCCATTCTGAAAAGTTTTCAGCATTTCGTTTAAAGAGCATTATAAACGTCAACGAAAACAGCAAATAAAGCAAAGCTTACCGTCGTGCGTCAATACATCGAAATGTGACACTCTTTCCATCACATTGTTTGACATTTGCTTTATAATAAAGCATTAACCTCCCCAAACCAGTGCCATGAAACATGAAAGGTAATAAACGGCATCCTCAATTTTGATAGTTACCATGGTGATAGGGATGTCTAATAGTTAAAAAAAAACGAGAAAGAAATCGCCATTCAACCTGAGACGACAGAAATGGAGCACCCTCGCGCACCTACCTTGTTCTATATGACTCAAACAATGGAACAAGTGCCCTTTCAACAACAAGATTTCCTCGACTGTCAGAGCTTCCCTGCAGTCTTTTCTGCGCTTTGGTTTGATTTCATTAGTGAACGTAGAAACAAACCAAAGAACTCGTCGTTTATGGCGGCAACAAATGGCCCGAGGACCGTTTTATTTGTTTATGTGAGCCAATGATATCGGGCTAACCGGTTCATCTGCATGAGATGAAGTTTCAAATCTCGCGAGATTATAGCTTGAGCGTCATTGATGAACTTTCTCCGGTCATTGCCCCCATGCCTCATGATCTGTTCCCTTCTGATTGTTTTTTTTTTTCTTTTTATTTTCCTGTTAGAACTACACCACTTTGATTGCTCGTCTGCTGCTGCTTTCAAGCTGTCCAGCACCATGCCACAAGCATTATTGTCAAATCTTCAACTTTTATTTATTTATTTACTTATTTAATTTGATTTTGTGGAGAGCATATAATGCTTCCAGCGCCTTGCCTCCAATTCATTCTTTTGAATAAACGTTGTTTAAAAAAAAAATAAGTGAAGCGTTTACCTAATGTCGTGAGGCATTAGACGCAGTTGATATACCGTAAGAAAGATGAACACAGTGTATCTCGTAAATTAACTTAACACCGAGAATGTAGTTGTTTTAGAGACTGGGGTTGATGTTAATCGCTTGTGTTTGTAAAGGTCAGATCTGCTGGCCTCTGAAGACGACAGTATTTATAAACTAGCCCTGGAGCGCTTTACCTATATGCTGGCCTCTGAAAACGACAGTATCTATATATAAACTAGCCCTGGAGCGCTTTACCTATATGCTGGCCTCTGAAAACGACAGTATCTATATATAAACTAGCTCTGGAGCGCTTTATCTATATGCTGGCCTCTGAAAACGACAGTATATATAAACTATCCTTGGAGGGCTAAATGCTGGCCTCTGAAAACGACAGTATATATATATAAACTAGCCCTGGAGCGCTAAATGCTGGCCTTTGAAAAAGACAGTATCTATATTCAGACTTGACATTTAATATGGAATATTTTTTTCCAAATCATTTTTCATCAGTTTTTTCCTATTTTGCTGACTGATAAATGAAAATAAGGCTTAAAATTGGGTTTTAATAACTTTTAATTATCCTTTTGATGTCATTGTGTCTTCAGCTAATTAATGGAATTCGCCAGAGAAGCAAACAAAAACACATTGCCTATTTTATGTCATACGACAACAATTAAAAGATATATTTTGGATCTCCATATTTCCAAATTTTTTTCTGTAAAAGAGTTACACGCCTCACAAAGAACCCCCATGTCAGTGTCTAGTCACAGTAATGGTCGCTGTTACGCTTGACCTCTTCTGTCTGCTACCAGCGCTCTCAAGGGGCAAGGCATTCCTTGGGTTAGGTTTTTAGAGTTAAATCTGGAATAACATTCCAGGCATCGGTCAAAATCTGTCCAGTTTGGTCCAGTTTTGTTGTAGGACATGTAGGCCATTGATTCGGCGAGTAATGGCCTACCCACATATTGTCTATGTGGTTCAAATGTGGCGATTTTGATTACCAAGGTAGCTGCTCATTCCCTTGGTTCTGTCAGTAATCTGCTTTTAAAAGTGCTCTGTGTGTACCGGCAATTTCACCGTGCAACCTAAAATTGTTCCTAAGGTGCCCCTGTCAAATGATTGTCAAGTGGTTCCCAGATTATTCCTTTATTTGATCTGGTTCAGGTTTTCGTGGATGACCATCATTGGTGTTTTGGCACCAATGTGGTATCCGCTCCAATTACCGACGCTGTTAATGAACTTAGTCACTTTAAACGCGGCACACGCTTAGTTGTTGCCCTCTTCTGGATGTCTGTAAATTCTGTTTTGACAAGTTGAGCGTTATAGGTGAAAACTGACCTCAATAAAGAAAGCCACGAGTTTTCAGTGTT